GCAATTCTGTCTCCACACCTAGGGAATTTCCCTTCAATTTGTGCCGGCCCTCACATTGATTGGGCTTGAGCCCAATTAATTAGGTTTTGCTTCAGAAGAGTTCAAGTCCCGATCTTTTAAACCTTAGTACTTTAGTTCATCCGTTACTCTTTCTCGTGGGCTGAAGAAAGCCATGCAAAACCAGTTTGGTTATGAACTTTTTTACCCTTTGCCTGTGCATCCATATTTTCTTATTTCCTTGTCCTGAAACACACCAAATCTCTAACATCGAATGGTAATGGCTTTGCAACCATTTCATCGTCAATTGGTCTGTAAACAAGTATTATATGTCTCAAACATATCATAAAATAATCACATTAAGCACATAATATCAATATATTTTGGACAATTGTCAGAGACCGCCGTAAAAGGTCTCAATACGAAACTGCTCCTAAAACCCGTGATTTGGGCATTGGAGGAAAAAGTCAAAGTAGCTCTCCCACGCGTCCCTCAATGTCTCATCCTCCTCTTGGGAGAAATGGGTGATCTTCTTATGCCATCCGTCGTCTTAGAAGGTGGACAATATCGGGCCATAAACTTGTTGAGCAAGTCGTCCCATGAGGTAATCGAGAGAGGTGGTCTATTGTTGAGCCACCTGAGCGCATCCCCCACTAAAGAGTAGGGGCATAGCCTCAAATTCAAAGCATCTTCAGGAACCCCATTGATCTTCAAACTTCTCGCAATCTCGATGAACCTCTGAACATGCTCCGTCGGAGACTCATCTTTAAGCCCATGGAATTGCACATTGTTTTGGATCATTATGACAAGGTCGGGCTTGATCTTAAAATTGTTGGCAGCCACGGGTGGATGCAAAATGGTTAGTTGAATGTCTGCCACCCGTGAAGCCATGTAGTAGCCCATGGTCCTCGATTCCTCAGCTCCCTCTTGAGCATTTTGATTAGCCGCCATCTCGGCTTCACTTCCTTCCTCTTCCTCCGATTGAAACTCTTCCTCAACTACAACTTCTTCCACTTCGGGAACAACTTGTGGTTGTGCCCTCTCTCTAATCCTTCTTCTTGCTTCTGCAAGCTCTCTCTCATGAGCCAAGAGTCGGAGAGTGCGATTGAGGTTCTCGTCTAGTGGCGCAAAAGGTGTCAAATTACTCCAGGTCATACACCCTCCTGCACACACTTCAAAGAAACACAACTCGTCTACAAGCAAGATTCACAATCACAAAACAAAAAGTAAACGCTAGATTAACACCAAACAATCTTTTCAAAATAACAGACCGAAAGGTCCCCGACAAGGGTGCCAAAAACTTGACTCATCCCGAATACCACAATAAAAGTCTCAATTGAGGCCCAAGTATAAACTTTAACTGGGTGTAATGTAGCGCAAATATGTTTTAAAAGTCAAACTCGGGTCGGTCCATGTACTCATACTTCAATTGTTTGAAACATTATCTAGAAAATGGTTTTGGTTAAAACTACGATTTATAACTAAAATGATTGGAAAAGTATATGATCTGAATACTAATTGAGAAGGCTTCACCCGGGTGTTGCTCCCCTAGCTAACAATCATGATTTGTCAGATCGAATGCAAATGTGTGGTAAAGGCGGTTGTAAATAGTAGGAAAGTGCAACAAGTGAACAACCGTCAATCTCTCAGTCAGTAAGCCAAGGGGTTTCAAATCAAGGTACCCAGGTAGCTCTCTTGGTCCTAATCGACTAAGGGATGCTTAGACTTCACCCCCGAACCAAAGTTTAGATGACCAAATTACAAACTACACAAGGTGTTAATACGTATTAAGAGGTTTTTTCTAATTCAACCTAGGTAGGTGACCCAATTGGCCAGGGAATTCTAGCTTTTACAAGCCTCTTAACAATAAGGGAATTTCCCTCTACCTAGGTCAAAATGGCATAAGAATTGGAAATGCAAAAACACAACACAATCTTTATGAAAATACCTCATAACTTGTATTAAAACACAACCACACAAAAGTCATTCAATTCATACAAGCATTCACATAATTTTAGCTAGGGTTTACAAACCCCCCCCCCCCAAGTGAAAGAAAAGTCTACTCCATGCTAAGTAGAGGGAATACACAAGGGAGAAGATAGAAAACCATCTTGGATATGTTTGCCTTCTTCTTAGTGGTGTGGAGATCAACCTTGGAGGAAGAAATTCCCAAAACTTTGCTCTTGGATGAAACCCTAACTTCTCCCCTTCTCTTGTTCGTCACTTTCTCACTCTAGAAATCTGAAGAAGAAGAAGAAGAAGAAGAAGTCTCTCTCAATAGGTTCTCCTCCCTTTTTTCTTTCAGTCGAACCCCTTTATATACCCAAATTGACGGTGTTTCACGGTCCCAGTTCACGGCCGTGAACATTTGGCTCAGACCGTGATGTCGAGCAAAGACGCGTCGTTTCATTAAGGTGCTTCACGGTCTGTAGATGGTCCTCACGGTCGAGCGACTATGAACTGCTTTATGCCCGCGAGATGGACAAAACCCTTATGGACTCTTCGCTCTTCACGACCCACGCCTTTTCTTCACAGTCTAGATGACCGTGAACCTTAGGTCTCCACCGTGAACAGCTGTTGTTGCTCCCTTTTGATCGGTTTCCGCCCCTTTTCGTCCAACTTTGTTCCATGGGTTGATTTCACCTGCTAGGATCTGAAACATACTAAAAACAACCACAACCTAGCATAAAACCGAACCTCACGAAGTAAAAGTACCACAAACATCTAAGGAAAAGGGGGTTAAAAGTGTACAAATAGACCTGAATCACTAAGCACAATGCATATAGTAACACACTATAGAATCATAATCGCCGATAATATAGGATAATTCATACTAGATAAACAACAATGATCATCATATGGACATTGAAAACCAAATATCCATGCATACATAATAAGCATCACAATTCATAAGCATTAACACAAGCATGACATGAAATCATAGCATCAAGGATGATTGGACCCAAATGGATGACCATCAAGAATCAAATCTCTCGATGCTGATTTTGGTGGATTCCTTAGATTCACTAGAGGAGGAGAAAGAACCACTAGTCTAATAATCGGAAATGGAGCACTCATAATTGGGCTCTTTCTGGCTTAGTTTTAGGAATCACTTTGTCCCTCTCTCTCTCTCTCTCTCTCTCTCTCTCTCTCTCTCTCTCTCTCTCTCTCTCTCTCAAGATATGCAGAACCAAATTGTTTTTGGGTTCCATTGAAATTTTTTGTTTTGGAAAATCTTGGAGTGAATTAATTTGTGGTTCCATGGTTGCTTTGCCAAAGAGTTTGGGGAGATTGTATCTAGAGATTGTTTTTGTGTTAGCGATTATGGAATCAGTGACGAGCATGGAGGAAGATAGTTTTCGGTTTGGAATCTGGAAACGGAGATGAAACCCTGCAAACTATCCATCTTCGCCGCAGTGGTTTTGTGAGAGCTCAAAATGGCGACGGACCCCAAACCCATACCCTTCTTATCTCTTTCAATCGAAAATGGCGACGAACCCTTTCATCCTCGTTGCACTAAAGGAAGACGATGATGACGACGATGACTACTTGATGAAGAAGTGTTGATGGTGGTGGTATTGCAGCAGGTGGCGGTGGTTATTGTGTGGATAGTTGAGGAAGAATGCAAAGATAAAAGTGAAGCTCTGCTAGTAGATCTAGCTTGAGAGATGGTGATATATCAGATTTTATTAATTTAAAATGTGATGTGGCATCCATGTGGCATGACAAGTCTAAGTGGACATGATGTATCATCCAACTAGCATCCACAGTTCAATTAACTGACGAGGCCGTTGACAACGTTAAAGTATTTGACGAAAATGGCTAAATTTGTTAAAGAACTTTAAAAATGTTACTATATCTATTATTTTTCGAAAAAGTGACTATCATTGTCAAAACGTGGATAATTATGGCAATTCATGTGTATTTCGCTTTTATTTTTCTCAGTCAGAAATTAGATTGGTTGTCACACCGCCCGGCATGCCACTGGTTGAATCTGGTTCAACCGCAATTGTTTATAAAACCGCCGTGAACAATACCTGTATGAGAGACATGATCGAGTTACGATATCTAAGCAAAAATAACGTTGTTTTAGTGATTTTAATTAATAAAAAATTAATTTATCATTTATTTTATGAGTTTAAAAGTTAAATGTTGACCTTTATTTGTTGGATTCAAGTATAAATGTTTAGTATTTACATTATATGTTATGAGTATTGGTAATTTTATTCAGAATATCTTATTTTATTTAAATATTAAAATGAATTGTAAGTAAATTTTCTTTAAATATTTATTTTTTTATACGATTAAATTCATTTATTGTTAATGGTTTTCACATTTCTACATATTTTGTTAAGCTCGCATGAACCGTCACATACCAATTGTACCATTGGTTGAACCATTCCACTTGCTATGCTCGCACAACGATATAAACCGGTTTGACATAGGGATGACAATGGGTCGGGTCGGGCGCGGATAGTGCATATCCGTTACCCTACCCATAGTAGTTCGGGTTTTACCCATACCCAAACTCACATGTGAAATGGGTAGAAAATTAAAAGCATGCCCTTACCGTTTGGGTTTCGGGTATCCACGGGTAATAATTTCTCTTCATAACTCCAACCAATATGTTAACATTCACACGTATTCTCACATTACGTAAGAGGAAAAGTACGATAATAATTCACTAGAAGGAAGAAAATTAATTAAAACTACACAATTTCATGAAAATATTATATTTATATGCTAAATATAAAATATGCTAGAGAAAAATAATGATTATTTCTAGACAAAATACATATGCATGTGGATAATCGGGCGGGTTCGGGTTGGATAGTGAGAAATCCATGCCCACCCATTACCCTCAATATTCGGATTTGGATTTTATCCGTACCCACTAAATATTCTTCGGATTCGAATTTTATCTTACCCGATTATTCCGGATTCGGATGAATATCCAAGGTTACCGATATTTTTGCTTTTGACAAGCAAATTAGAAATCACTCGCCGAATTTTTTGAAATATTTTACTACTTTATAGCTAGCACTCAATTATTGAAATATTGTACTAAGAAAAATGGCTCACGTCTCGTCGGGAAATTCCAACCCGGCGGGCGGCGGCGGGGCCACAGCAGTTCTCCCAGCTACCCAGTCCCTCTCTTTGCTTACAGCTCTTTATTCACCAAACCGAAATTTACTCTGTAAGTGCTAGTACCTAGAAGCCATGATTTCCCGAACCCTTCTCGTGCTGCTCTGCTCCACCTTGCATTCAATTGCGGCCTCCTTGCCGCCCGACGGCGCGTACCCAGTCCCACCCATCATCGGCGGCCTACGTCTTAGCTCCGGTGGAAAGATCATCGACATCACCCACAGGTACGTGGAGAAGATGCCGGCTTACGGGGCGGAGGAAGGAATGGGGCAGGTGGTACGGCTGGTTGCCAGCTTGAAGAACGGCTCCAACGCCAACTGGTCGGAGTTCAAGATGTCGGTCCACTCCGGGACGCATCTGGACTCGCCGGCCCATTTCTACGACGAATACTTCGACGCTGGGTTCGATGTCGACACTCTTGACTTGGAAGTTCTCAATGGTAATTGGGGAATCGAGAGTTTTTAGTTCCTGTCCTTTTCGAGCTAGTTCCTTGCCCAGAAGATGCTCGATGAAATTCCGCTGCCAATAATGATTTTCGAATGGTGGTCAGAAAATTCCCTATACTTGGGTACTTGCGGTGTTGCCGTTGGATTGCAATACTGGATAGAATCTAGTTTTGCCTCTTCCAACCTTTTCCAATTATTGGAATTGTTGAGACAAAGAGTTATAGAATGATTGGTGTTATCAATTTTATTTGCAGGCCCAGCCTTGTTGGTTGATGTTCCCAGGGACAGTAACATTACTGGTAAGTGGTAACCATAGCTTCTTGTTTGTGGAGTTTATTTGTTTTGGTGAACTGAGTTTCCTTGTTTTTTGCCACAGCTAAAGTTATGAAGTCATTGCAAATCCCAAAAGGAACTAGGCGTGTGTTGTTCAGGACTCTAAATACCGATAGGTAAAAGATGGAAGATTGAAACCTTTACATCCCTACGATGACATATGAATAGAATGTGAATCTGGTTGTGGGTTTCCTTTCAGGCATTTGATGTTCAAGGAGTTCGATTCAAGCTTTGTCGGGTTCATGGCCGATGGGGCACAGTGGCTTGTGGACAACACGGACATCAAACTTGTTGGTAAGTTGCTCAATCTTCTTACCCTGGAGAAGTAGCTATCAAATCTCAACTTGCCAATTGAATTCTACAACATTAGATTAAATGGTCTCACAGATTAGGAATTTGCCTATGGTGTGTTGGAATCTCAGGAGTTGATTACTTATCTGCTGCTGCCTTTGTCAACGGTCGCTCAGCTCATCTAGCTTTCCTAAAGAGCAGGGTAAGGGAAAAAATATTATATTTTTCAATCCTGATCAACGTGTCAAATGACACAGATTTGCTGTGCGAACTGGAAAGTAACAGCGGAGAACCGTGGTTTGTACTATGTTATTCTAGGAAATCATTCTCGTGGAAGCTTTGAAGCTTGACAACGTTGAAGCTGGACTGTACAATGTTCATTGCTTGCCCTTGAGGCTGGTTGGAGCTGAGGGATCGCCAGCAAGATGCATTCTCATCAAATAATCATCTGTGTAAAGCTTTATGCCCTGCTGTAATTTGAAGTAATGGCTACTGGGAATATTTCTAGTCATTGCTTGCCTATGAGGCTATGACCATGTTATCTATCTACAAACGGCCAATCCTCGATGTTTATTATTATGTGATTTTCGTCCACGACTGTAATGTGACCAGATTTTGCTGCACTACTCACGAATGAATAAGATTGTCGCGGCAAGGGCCACCTATGATTACCGTATTCAAGTTGATGCACTTTGCTGGAGGCTTACAGCTAGTAATTGCATTTCTTTTATTGGAATTCACATTTCTTTTAGTAACCATGCTTCAAAATGGTAATAAGTAGATGCTGCAGACGAAACAACCTCTTGCTGGCTGGCTTTCTGACAATCAGGAGGCATTTCTTCAGGTTGAAATAACCAACCAGTTGTAATAGAAAAGCTCTCTAGGCATTGACTTTAAACTTCCAACTGATCCATCAGAAGAAGCAAAGAGGGTATTTGCATAGTCACATATACAGAATACCATGTGAACAGATTTTGTTTACAAACACACCTTAATTCTATTTCTATAAACAAAACACTCAGGTTGCTTTTAAATTTGGAAATGTCGATGTAGCTATAAAAGGGGCTAAGCTATTAGGAGGGGGATATAGCAGACAGTCCCAAAATGGCTCATAATCATCATCTTATTACAAACAGCTGGTTGTTGTTCCTCTTCTCTTGATAACACTGTCGCTCCTGAATGTTAATAATGCTATTGTTAGCTCCCAGCAGACGGGCGATTTAGCAGCAATGCAGCATCATCATATGAAGGGAAGGTGAATCTTTGCAGAAACAGATGGGAAGAAGATAGGGAGAAGAGGACGAAGAAGAAAGGAGGTGATGGTGACGGGAAGAACAACAAACACGGCCTGGAAGGATACGAGGAAGTCGAGATGGATGATAAAGAAGAAGGTCCTGAACCTGAAATATTAGGTGGTGGCGGCGATGCGAGGAGACATTGGGAGTAGGTGGTGAACAAATACACCCGCAAACCGACTCATCCAACTCAATCCACCCGTATTTATCACTAAAACGAAGGTTTTGGGTTGGGCGAGAGTTTTATTTTGTACAACCTGCCTATTTTGGGTTGGGTTTGGATTTTGGATTACACAACCTGTAGAACCCGACCCAACCCGTGTTCCAACTACTAGTATGAGTTCGTATACAAAAAATATTTATGTCGTATATAGCCATACGCTGAGAAAATCAAGAAATTTCATCATGTTTTTCTCTCATGGTCTCACTAATCTAATGCATTCTTCGACTTAAAGTTTATTCATAAATTTAATATAGCTGTGATTCACGTAATCATTTTTCTTGTGTACAACTTTAATAGAATAACATATTATGAATGCGTTCGTTTATAACCTTTTTAGCCTATTTCAACAAATGTCGTGAAAAAAACTAGGCATATGGTGTAGAATAATTACATATTTTGTGTTGGGTTGGGTTTTTACTTAAAAATATCACCAACCCGACCCAACCCAATTAAAAACAAATCGTAGGGTTTAAATTTTTTTGGGTGGGTTTGGGTTTAATATTTCTCAAACCGTAGTGCATGGGTCGGGTGATTAAAATGGCTAAACCAGGACCACCCGACCCATGTACACCCCTAATTGGGAGTAGAGGTGGCAATTTCAATCCAATCCACCAATCCAATCCATCAATCCATTAAAAATATCCACCTAATCCAATCCATTTAAATCCAATCCATTTGATCCAAATCCAATTGGATTGGTGGATTCATGGATTGGATCCATGGATCATTGGTAAATTACGGTTTAGTACCTATAATTTTTATTTTTTACATTTTGGTACCTAAAATTTAATTTTTATACGAAAAATATCATTGGAAAATTACGTTTTGATACCTAAAACTTTTCATTGTAACATTTTAGTACCTAAACTTTTTACATTTTACATATTGATCCTTGGTTGAGGATGTCATTTGGATTCATGGATAATCCACCAATTCACTTGATCCAATCCATGAATCCACCAATCCATTAGATCCAATCCATTTGATCCATGGATTCACCAATCCAATCCACCAATCCACCAATCCAATCCATTTGCCACCTCTAATTGGGAGTCATCAAGGGTATGTTGATAAAGCATAAGAAGAGCCCAGAGGGATTCCAGGGTAAACCAGTTCATGATGCCAAAGTGAAGTGTAAAAAATGTAAGAACGGTGAGGATCATAAGGGCGCAGGTTAGGTTGGGAATAGGGGTGGAAATCGGTACGATATCGGTATCCCAATACTAAATATCGAAATCCTGAATATTAAATTAAATCCTCAAAATTAATATCAATCTCAATCCCTAAATAAGTTCGTTATCCCAATTTCAATCTCTAAATATTTTGGTATCTCAATTGGTATTATCGAATACAAAATTTATTACCTTTGCAATTCATAATTAAATATATAAATTAGATTTGATTGTTTAATTTTGGGCAAAGAGACTAAGGAAAGAATCTTGAGTTTGCCTAGAGCTAGGATATGGATAAGGAGAATAGAGGAGAGGAGATGTGACATCTCAAGTTCTTGTTATTGATAATTTTTAATTTGACGAATTGGAAGCTGAGAGACGACTAATACTAGTGTTTGCCTTTTGGTGTTATGAAAATAACAAGAGATTAGGTGAGATACGAGAGTGACTTAATTTGGAAAGTCAAAATTGAGTTGGATAGAGACTTCTTAGTTGTGAAATAGTGATGGAATGATCTATGTATAATTAAATGACACTCTTGGTGGTTGAGGGTCATGTAGAAGTGAATGAGAGAGTCCAGTTGATAGGATAAAATACACACTAGCTTATATTTCGGTATATACTGATCACAATCCCGTAATCCCTAATACCGAATAACAATCGAAATGCAATCCCAATCCCAAGAAATAATACATGTATTCGATAATTCCAAATATAGAAAAATTCGGTACGGTATTCGGTATATCCCAAATACTGGTACCAAACTTCCAGCCCTAGTTGAGAGTAAGGCAAAAAGTAAATTGCGGTAAGCAATTGTTAAAAATGTATATGAATGGAAAGAAAGAAACAAGGGTAAATTGCAAGGATGGTCATTGGGATTGCTAAACAAATTCACGTTTGTCATTACAAATATTTTATTTTATTCGTCTTCACTGAAATTAGTTTAGTGTTCTGAGCTTGGTCACTCTCCGATAGTCTCCGTCAATCGTCAACTTCCGTTAACGGCGCGAGTTTTCTTTGTTGAAGTGGTTAACAGAATTGTCTAATAAACCTATTTTAACCGGAAAAAAGTTTATACTCAACCCGCCACATCATCAAAACCAGCCACTTCATCAAAATCAAACCAACACGTAACCCGACCCGACCCTTCCCAGCCCATGGCCGACCCTATCTATATCCCACCCAACCCGCTACCCTTTCTTCTCCGAATCCCCCTGTTGCTGAACAAAAGGCCGGCCACTACCTCCTACTCCTGCGACCTCTCTCTCCAATTCCCGACTTGCCGTTGTCCATCTTCCTGCCCTTTTATCGATGTAATGAATTGGATTTGATTGTAGAAATGAGAAACAATAGGAGTTGTTTGGTAATTGTACAATCAGCATAAATAGGAGGGAACAGTGTACAACGATTAAGGATGAACTAATAAGAAACTTTACTCTTCTCTCTCTCTCTCTCTCCCTTCTTCCACAACACCTCTCTCGCCGGGATTCAGTCAGGGATACTGCAATTGGTATCAGAGCCCTTTCTTGACACTATGGTGAACACCCGAGGCACCATTGACGAACGCCTTACCAATCTCATCGAGCAAACCAGCCGTTCAGAGAAGGAAATGGGATCGACGATCGCCGGTTTAGAGAACGTGATTACTACGCACTCTAACCAACTTCACGAGTTGGTGGGCCGTGCCAAAGGGCACTCACACCAGTTCACAATGCTCAACACTCGACTGGAAGGGACTTGACGCGCTTTTGGAGAAGGACCCATTTGTGGCTCTTTGTGAAGCCAAGGCCAAACCATCGGCGATCTCTCTTGGTGGATGCGATGGAAGTCAATCAATGATGGACTACATGGTGTTGTGCAAAGAGAAAGAAGAAGAAGAAGAGCTCTCTTGGGTGGAGCCTCAAAGTCGATCAAGTTTACCAACCCTCAATCATGAATTCGTCCAATGCTCGTGACTTGGGTTTTCATCTCACCGACGAGAACCTCAACTTTAAGGAGGTTCTTGGATGGACTAAAACTTGAAGAACAACCGTATAGCTTATGACGTGAAAGTAGCGCTTGTTGGGAGGCAACCAAACACAGGTTTGTGCTTATTTTTATGTTAAGTGAAATAACCTCGCTTTGCGCAAGCATGTGTGTGTGTGTCTTTGTTTTCATCTCCTTGAAGCTCTCTCCTTTTCATCTCCGGTCCAATTCGGTCCCGACTTTCACTCGCCAAGCTATGCGGTAACATCGTTCTACCCCTTATTTTACGCCATTGACGGCAATGTCGAGCTTAAGTGTGTGGGGGTGGGGTGGGGTGGGGGTAATCTATATATTATGCTTGTGAGTGTGATTGATTGCTTGGAGCCTTGATGTATGCCCAAGCATTGCTTGAGGGGCCCCAAGCATTGCATGTTCATTGTGGCCGGTGGTTGGAGGATCTCTTGTTTATTGGCATTAATGATCTTGGATTGTTTACTTGTGATCGAGTGCATCCTTATTATGATGATTGAGAATTTCATTAGGTTGGTGTGAATGTTTAGTTCTCATGCATGCATAAATGAATGGATGTCTTGACTTGATTACTCTTCGATTACAATTGCGATGCATCAAACTTTGTGAAATTGGAATAGATGAGTGGGTGATTAGGTAGCCATGTGAGATTTGTGCCGATCGTCCTTTTCATGTGCGTTAGATCCCTATTGCCATGGCGTGTAACATTCACCGTTGTCATTAGTGAGTATGATGGAGGCATGGGATTAGTCCACGCCCAAAAGTTGATTGTCCCAAAATATTTTATCCCTTAGTCAACCCCTTTGAGCCGTGTGACTTCAGGGTCGTTCTCATGTTAGGAGCTTGTTGCTTTTTGAGCTTAATGGTGCTTAATAGAACGACCCCCCCCCCCCATCATTTCTTCGTGTCTATACGTATGTCGTCCTTGTGTCCCGGAGCTCTCGCTTTTGAGTTCCATTGAGGTTCTACATAGGAGGATTGTGTGCGTTCTTGCTAGGAATGAAAGAGAAAAGAGTAGTGTTGGAGCGAGCTCTTAAAGGAGAGCATTGGTTGTTAAAAGTAGTGTGGCAAGTGTTTAACTCTCTAGTACCCCCCCCCCCCTCTCAAAAAGA